CATATATATTTCAGGGATAACAACAGGACTATGTAATATATTCTAGCTTGTTTAAGTGTACTTTGATAGGTGAGAGGCGGGGTCCAATTGGGAGCGTGGATCATGTGCGTGAAGTCGGCGAGGAGCCTCCTTCCGAGTGATATCTCCTACTCACCTCATCTGTATCCCATTCCCTAGTCTTCCTAACAACGATGCCTAATAAATTGTCTACAGCCAACTTCCTCTTAAAGTCTGAGAACCAGGGATCAGAGGGTAGGCAGGCAGTATCTACAGACTAAACCATAGTCTGGCTCTAAGGCTCACTCAAGCGTACAAGGATTAGACGAATCCTAAATTATCCTGCAGAAGTGAAATGCTTCTATTGATTTAATTCAACAATTGAATGGTTGATTTGATTCGAGACCATAAGATAATGGAAAATAAGGAGGTTGGATGAAGTTTATATAATTTATTGGTACCTATACAGGCAATCGAATTAACAAAGTAGCCTCAGTAAAATTAACGCAGCTAGTATCTGCAGGGATTTTTCCCAGCCTTGGGACTGTATCGTCGATGCTATCGCTCGTTTAAGCTTATAGAAAGTGACAGCACAACATGAAAATGTGCGGCACTTATTTGGTGTCGGGCCTTGCTAGGATTTTGTTAGATTCGATGTTTCTCTATTGTTCGGCTTTTATTATGTTTATTCTCCCATAAGTGTAAAGTATGGTCCAGGGGCCTTCGTATAGTAAACTGTATATCTGCTAACTGATAGCCAATTTCTGGAGGTTCACGATATTTGAAACTGCTTCTTGGTATTTCTTTTGAGTCTATACGTGTCAAAATGTGCCTTGGATATCTTTCGACTGTTTCATGTGGTTTTGGCATTTTGTGCTATTTATCATATGCATTCTCCCATTTTCTTGGATTTCGCTTCACCTACTTTTGCTTGTGGACTTTTGGTAGGAGTTTTGCGGATTGGTAAAAGAGGACATCCTACGCTACAGTCGCCAGCTAATTATTCCTGAGTTCGGACCATCAAGTCAGTTATTGGCCTCACTAATGAGAATTTTCGCTGTCAACTAACATGTTTGCCTTTTAAGTTGTACGTGAAATTGTTTGTGGAAATAATTGTATTGCCGTATATATTTTAAGAGCAACTGAAGCTGGCTGGAGCTCATGTTCTTATCGTTGGTTGTGGTGGACTAGGGTGTCCGGCTGCTGTCTATCTTGCTGCTGGAGGTGTCAGTAAGTTCCAATTAATTCACTTTCCATTATGCCAGCATGGGTGAACATTTCTTCGTCATTTATAAGAACGCACACTTAACTTGAAATTTCGAGTCTGTCACAAATTCATGTTCTTCATTTTTCTTGGAATAATTCTTTTCATTTCTCTGCTGTTCAAGTGCATATATTTCATAATTTTCTGTTAATTTTCAGTTAATATCACCCTCGTAGACAATGACATAGTTGAGGTTACCAACCTCCACCGTCAAGTAATGCACTCTGAGGATAAAGTGGGCTACCCGAAAGTCGAATCACTTGCTCAGAGGCTGAGAAGGTATGCGCTCATTTGCATGATGTTCTTTGCGCTTCCTTTTGTTTTACTCTTTCTTTCTGTACAGCGTAAATAGCACTGTGCGTATAGTGACAAAGAATGTTCGTCTTACCAGCCAAAATGCCTGCGACATCATTTTGGGGTGAGTTCATTGTTTCTAATTTGGTTTGTGAATTCTTCCGTTCATGGGTACTCTTCATTCTTGCAACCGCGAAATCATTTTCGACACTTTGGGGACCCATAACACGAGTCTCCAACATATGTTAGTATATTCTGCGCAGTTTTCAATGGGAGACATACTGCAAATAGGTATCTAACCCTTGGTCAAATATGGCGCTCACAAAAATTTGCGTTTTTACAAAATTATTGTCCCTTCTAGTCACGACATTGTTCTGGATTGCACCGACAATATAGCTACGCGCTATCTTCTAAACGATGCCTGTGCGGCTTGTGGTCCCATCCCCTTGGTAAGTGGGAGCGCTCTGCGTTTCGAAGGTCAAATGACTGTGTATCTCACTCACCGTCCACCCGAACACGATTCGTCTGAGTGTGAGACAAAGCGGTTAAGACTGATTGACAAGGAAAAGGTGCCTTGTTTTCGCTGCATTAATCCTTCACCTCCGCCTGCTGTTCAAGCCTGCTCCGACGCTGGGGTTCTTGGTGTTGGCAAGTACTTTATGCTGAACTAATTCATTTTGTCGCTTGCTGTTGATGTCTTGAGTGGCTGACTCCTTTATTGACACCAAAGTTTCGCCATAGGTACTAGCGTATTTTTTAACGAATTTCCTGGGCAGTTTAGGCTTCCACTAGGCATCCATCGTGTAATGACTGTCGTTTTCATTTGAAAAGGATTACTGTGCTTCTCTGTAAACACTACAGCAGATAAGAATTCAACAGTGGCGAATCCTTACAGTTAATCTGCTTTGCAGTAGTCGAAGTTTACGTATTTATCCCAATTTCATTTGCTTTCAGTTCCTGGTATCATTGGAACTCTTCAGGCAGTTGAGGTTATAAAACTACTGTCAGGAATTGGAGGCAAGTCACACTACTTATTTTCCACTGCATTCAAGCTTGCACCATTCAACGACGTACCTTGTTTGGTAATTAATCTTTCAAACTCCTAAGATCCAAGTGCCATTCCATAATTGTTGCCTTAGTAGTTTCTCTCATTTGTTCGTGAACAGTTACGAGGCTTCACCACCCCCGATTGGAGTAATTAACATTAATTTTCTGTTGCGAATTGGCACATCACTTTTTGTCAAACGCTAAAATTGCCATTCAGTAACCAACAAATACTCCTAGTGTTTCAAGGTTGATTAAAAGCAAATTGTCACCGTTCTGATAAATAAATTCCAACCGGAAAGTGTGTACCGATACCAACCAAATGTTAAAATATTGTCTGTGTGGTTGCGGCGGTAGAGTCAATGGCGGGACGTTTACTCGTGTTCGATTTGGAGCGCAACAATATACGAACAGTGAAGTTGCGTCAGGCGCGACCGGACTGCAAGACTTGCAATTCCATCAACCGGATCACACCTGAAGATGTCAAGAAGACAGATTACGTCGACTTTTGTGATGCTTTTTCCCAAGATATGGTGAGACTTTAGTCACCATAACTCATGAGTACGAATGACAAGCTAGCTCTTTTTTTACGCCTTGTCGATCATTTTTAGCCACGATCAGGGAATGCACAGAAATCCGAAACCCGCATTTCAGTTCAGGTTAGTTTCCCTCATGTGCCTACGGACGTTGATTTCATCTTTTCCTTTTCCTGGCTCTGTGTTCGCTTAAGGAGCTGAAAGAAATCCGTGATTCAAAGAAACCTCATATTCTCATTGACATCCGGCCTGCTGTTGAAACCGAAATTTGCCGTTTGACTAATTGTCTCTGTGAGTTCACGTCATACACTACACATGTTCATGGTGCCAAACCAACTTTGTTGCATATCTATCCGATTTGACCTAAGGACTTGTAGTTAAATTTACTCTAATTTTTCTCCCAAGACATACCATTAAACGAATTATACAAGGAGTCAAATCTAACACTTATCAGAGACCGAATCAGAGCTGCCCATGAGGTTTCTCCAAACACTCCCTTCCCAGGTAAGTAAACCAACATTGCTAAACCACCTCTTCAGTTAATGTATTTACTTCTCATTTCAATTTGAAATAGTTATTTTGCTGTGCCGCCGCGGGAACAAGTCGCATGCAGCATGTGAGCAATTTGCTGAGGCTCTCGAGCGAATTCTTCCTCGGAGCGCGTCGAGTGGCGATCTGACCTCGTTTACTAATGGCGATGCAAAGTCAGTCATCACAACCAAGGTCTTGGTTCGTGATGTTGCCGGTGGACTGCAGGCCTGGAGCGAGCAGATTGACAACGACTTCCCTATTTACTAGCGTGCGTTACATGTATTCCAATCTTGAACGAAATGAATCTGCGCCTTTGCATAAAAAATTGCTGGTAGTATGTTCTCTTTCCTGTTCTGTCAGACCTTGGAAAGTGGTAACATGATGAGATCACTCCGAGCTATGCACAGGTAAACTGGGTGGTGTTTACATCATCCCAACTCATGAGGAGTTGACGGGATTTTGGCTAGCCAAGCCTCCCAAAGGTACTCCAGGTTTGGGTAATTCGATTCGGGTATTAGTACTGCATAACGGCACCAAATGTTGCATAATTGGGAGCAAGGAAAAAACCGAGAGTCGAGGGTTGTATAACATTATGCTTGTATTTCTTGAAGACTCCGAGGTCTAATCGAGAACTGACAGTATTCTTCCGCCGAACACGAAGGCGGGGTCGCGAAATTGGTGAGTGAAGCGAGACTGCAGCGCAAGTGTATCACCAAAGGAAGCGGAAATACAAAAATGAGAGGATGATTATAGCAACGATGAAGATGATAAAGTACTTTGCGACTGAGCTTTGAAGGTTCAGCGATGCGGCGTTATTTCGATAGTTTCGTGAGAGATCGGAGAGATGGGTTGCCTGGGCATCTAGGGCTGAATTGCACCAAAGTATCACAATAAAATACTAGACTTGCAGCGATGACAATAACTAGCAAATGTTCTTAAGTTTCAAAGTTCATAGAACCCTTAATGTAGCCTGACAGATTCATATTGAATGCGATGACCTTAAACTAGAATGGTCACCTGTTAGCGCTTCCCCGCGCTTGAGAACATCGTCGATATTTTGAATCATGATTCGTTGGACATCTTGTAATGCAACATTTAACTGAGACACATTGGTGGAAACACGGGTGTCCGTATACTTCTGCTGAAGTTTCTGCAATTCACGATCTACAAAGAAATTGTACAGGTTCGTAATATTTTAACAATAATTTGGAGTGTTTACAAGGAGATCCTAGGAGTAAAGTTACAACAGAAATAACGTCACATATGGAGTAATTCGAATGAATCCGTGCCAACTTTGCTAAACTCTAGCGACGAGTAATGGCCAAAATAGTGAGGTTTCAGCATACCGAATTCAATAAAGCCATACGGCCGCGAAACGGTATAAACATCATTTGAATATTGGCCACTAAACTGATTATGGACCTCCTCGAGGAAAGCGAAAGCCTTTTGCCTCGGAAAGTTCGCCTCTGTTAGGATTAAGTAACAGACCCCGGCTTCAAACAGGTAGTGGAAGTAGTATATCCCAGCAACGAGAGAACAACGCGACGGCGAAGATGGCACAAGTCTCCGAATTAACATTTTGGCTTGATTCTGGTAACTCACTAGGTTCCGACTTAGCTATGGAAAGCCGAACAGAATTTTTGATGTAGAACAATAAAATACGACAGTTTTGAAGAAAATAAATGAAATAAAAACATAGCTGTATTGATTTGAAGTAGAATAGACCTTTAAAGTAGTAAATGCTATAAATGGTAGGCCAAAAAACAGCTTAACAAAACGAATCGGACTCATAATTCCGTTTCCATGCGAATGATCAAGTACTAAGATCATTAGCAAAGGCCTTTTTACCTCAGTATCCTCTTTTACCGAGGCCACCAATGGAAGGCTATCGGCAACACGCGAAATCAGTGTAAAAAGAATCATCCCGTGGCAAGGTACGTCAGACGGTAGTCGTGGAAGAACGTTGTCTACATCACAGTTCCACGACCTACATACATTGACCAATCTAATACAGTAAATGCAAAGCGTTAAATACTGGTGAAAAAACAGGCAAAATACATCGCTTTCCATTCGAGAGATAACAAGCAATATTTTGCCATTTAAGATCGATAAACTTATAGCAATAAAAATAGTTTACAAAACAAGGGTTTGCAATCGTTGGTTTTACGTGAAGATAAGACCTTCAAAATAAACACTAAATGCCATTTTTTTGGACTATCGATGTGACGTATGTTCACTTTGGTGCCTATTATGCTCTTGTTTGAGTCTACTTCAGGCCAAGTCAAAGTCAAATCCATCCCTTTTCTCCTTAGATGTGAGTAATTGATCCTAATTAATAACTTTTCACCTAGTAGGGGTCTTTGTAATATGTACTAGTTTGTTTAAGTTAACTTTATAGGTGAGAGGCGGGAACCGATTTGGAACGCGAATCACGTGCACGAAGCCGGCGAGGAGTTTCTCTTCAAATGATATTTACTCGCCTTATCTGCATCCCATTCCCCATTCTTCCTATAACAAATACCTAGTAAATCATCTGCAACCAACTCTCTTGAAGTCTGAGATTCAAGTATCAGAGGGTAGACAGGCAGTCTTACAATCTCAGCTAAGAATATGTGGAGGTATTCCCGGTCTGGCCATTGCCATTTCCGGGTCCTCCCTAGCTGTTCCTTCAGATTTTTTAGGTACAACGCAGAAGCAGGGAGCAGGTGGTAGCTCCTATTAGCTATTGAACAGGAGGCTCGAATTCACACCCGTCTCCCACCTACAAGGCACAACTTAGATGCGGAGTATGTGTTTCGGCACTGATAATTACTTAACAACGTAACTGTAAACAAACTTCAGTCGCTGAGCTCGCTTTGCTTATGGTTCTGTCTGCTTCTCGGACCCATAGCCTCCCATCCATAGTTATACGCATACATCACTTTATGTGTCGCAAACAGCCTTCCGGCTGAGGATAATTGCTGGGGAGGTTTGCTACTCATGCGGAAGCTAGAGGCTCTCGATGTCAAAGACCTTTACTCATAGGCAATTTAAACTTTGACTAAACACACTGAAATACTGGTTTTTTTT